TTGACAGTGTTCAGAGAAATTAAAATACTCATTTAGGGTAAATTTTTCCAAAGGGTATAAGTGACATAGGAGCCTAAAATCCTTCAAAAGTAATTTAAGCATTTTGGGACTAGATTTTTAAACGTATTTACATGCATAAAGATGCAGATAGGCACCTACTGGAATTTTCAAAAGCATCTAGGAGGTAGGTCTACACTGCCATAAACACACCAAACCTCATGGCTCTGAGTCTCAGAACCAGGGTCAGCTGACTCAGGCTGTGGGGCTAAAATTTGCAGCATAGACATTCAGGTTCTGGCAGGTTCTTATGTATTTATAAGCAATGTCCATCCCTCTTGTGGGGGTCTCAGAGCCTGAAAGTCTACACTACAATTTTATAGCCCAAACAGACTAAGCCCTGTGATCTTGAGTCAGCTGACCTTGACCAGCTGCAGTCTTTCACCACAGTGTAGATCAGGGGTCGGCAACCTCTGGCACGCGGCCGATCACGGCTCCCATTGGCTGCGCTTCACTGTCCCAGGCCAATGGGGGCAGTGGGAAGCCGCGGCCAGCACATCCCTCGCCCGCACCGTTTCCCGCTGCCCCCATTGGCCTGGGATGGTGAACTGTGGCCAGTGGGAGCCGCGATCGGCCGAATCTGCCGACGCGACAGGTAAACAAACTGGCCCGGCCCGCCAGGGTGCTTACCCTGGCGAGCCGCATGCCAGAGGTTGCCGACCCCTCGTGTAGATGTACCCTACATGCCTAACTATAATTTTGGATATCTAAGTCCCTTTTAAAAATGGGACATAGCTCTATGGTATGGAAATTCAAAAGTCAGCCATCTCTTTCATAAGAGAAGGAAGAAAGCTGTTAAAACCATTACTAGGCACAATGGGCTTGATTCTACAAGATACAGAGTACTTCCTTGAGGTTGTGAGCACCCTCAACTCTCACTGAAGTCAATGGTACTTGATATCACTCAGCAAGCAGGACTGAGCTCAATATGTCAAACTAGTACAACCAAAAAATGGAGTTTAGAAAAATGCATTTACCATGGAGACAGTGGGAGATGGAGCCTTTGAGAGAAATTAGTTTAGATGACTAGAGAAACATTTATGTATTTAAAAGCAATGTGCTTGTACTATATACAGAGACATGGGATAAAATGCATAACGTCACTGTTTTGTTAACATACAGATGAATACCATATCAGGGAGTATGCAGTTGCAATGACATTTCTTAGTCCTTTTGCCACTTTATCCCTAATCTGAGAAAATAACAAATGCATTTAATTGATCCTCTTTGCTTGTGAGAATTTTGATACACACAAACACACGCGCGCACACACACACACACACACACAGATTTTGCTGAACCTGAAATTTAATGGCTCAGAATCTGCAATATAAAATACAGAAGGAGCCCTGAAGCTGATGAAGTCAGTAGGGCTCTGCATGGTGCTGGGGACCACCTGTACACACCACATTGTAGGATCTGGTCCCTTATTAGTCATTTTAAATCATTCCCTGTGTAATTTCTGCAAATGTGTCAGTTTGTACCTTGTTTACAAGCAAATAATTGAAATAAAAATTCAAGCTGTTTTGATTGGACATATAGGTCACATGCTATGTTTCTGTTCTGAGTGGATGAGCATAACTCTTGGAATCAAGTTTCTGGAACAAATATTCATGTTTATTAATTTCAGAATTGTTTTCTGAAACTATTACTTAATATGCTACTTGGTGAGTTTTCCTGCCATTCAATTTGTTCACAGGAACATGCTCAGGAAATCCGACATTAAAAAGGTTGCAAACCCATTTCAAGCAAATTCAAATGAATGGCTGTGGAAAACATTTTGAAGTATTTGTCCAGTTCTAGTTCTCATTCACTAGTTAGTTTGTGCTGTGCCAGATGAGAGGGTTTTTTCCCCCCAATTTTGTTGATACCCATTGATTCTGAACTCCTAGGTATTGCAATATGGGCACAGCAAGATTGCAGAGAGGCAGAACTATACAAGTATATTGTATGGAAAAGCAGCATCAACACAGCAAAAACGGATTATATATTTTTCCCCCCTTAGTTTTTTTCTTGTGGTGGGAATAGGTCATTTTGTAAAAATGTTTGACATTTGGACCTTTGTTAAAGTTACATTAACTTCTATATTTATTTTCCTTCCCAGAAAAAGATCAAGATAGAGTACCATTGTGGTGTTCATAGGACAATAAGACCGAGTGGGGTGTGTGTGTACTGAATTAATATAATCACTGAATGGGTATAAGAGAGACATCTACTGGCTGAACATAGAGATATTTCTTTAGCAGATTTATTCTCTGCTAGTATTAGTTCTCTTTCAGATGTGTTTCATTCTGGAATACAGACACAGGACAGGAAACAGTAAAACATACTTTGGGAAGTCCATTTGATCAAGTTGATAATTTTTCAAGAATTACACTCCACAGTAAGGAAAAGAATACATGCAACAAAAATAATAGCATAAGAATTAAAAATATCACCTTTTATGGACACAAATAACTGAATTGGCTAGCATCATAGTTGATGACAACCTTTCCACTCTTTCTAGTGTGTTTTGGAGGGTAATAATCCTTTTGCCAATTTAACTTACTGCCGCGTTATACATTGTAAATAAATAATGCCATAAAAGGAAGAAAATGCAACTTAACTATGGTAGATAGACATATATGCCAGAAAATGGGTTCTAGGCTTGAATTAAAAGGCAAGAAACAATACCTAAGTGGGGGCTAGCTAATTAGCTTTTGGGTGAATAACTGCAGCTAGTTGGAATGCAGATTTTTCATTCAGTGGGGAATTCCATCAATTAAACAATGTTGTTCCAAATTGGAACAAAAAACCTAAAATTTCAAAATTTCCTGCAGAACAAAAATTTTGTCAGTTTTCAGTTTAGAACCACTGAAAAAAAAGTTTCAGTAATGTTGAGTAGTTATGTTTTGATAATGTCAAATATATATTATGTATAAATATTATTTAAGTTAATATAATATTAAAGTTAAAACAAATCAATTGAAATGAAACATTTTGACATTATCAAATCAAAATTGTAAGCTATTCTTTGATTCCTCCAATCAAGAACTTAGTCAAAATCAACATGTTCCCATGAAACACTTAATTTTGATGAAACTGCATTTTCTGACAGAAAACTATTTTGACCAGCTCTAAAAATAACATTTAAGAACTTCTTGTGAGATATTGCTTTCCACTCCCATTTCTAATTTGTCTTAGACAATTGTAAGCTCTCTGGGGCAAGGACTGATCTTCTAAGTGATTTGCCTGCAACGTCTCTGGTAGGACAATTCTTCATTCTATAAACTAAATAATCCCTATACCTATGCACCACACATTTCACTGATGAATATATAATGCCTGTGCTGCCATTCTTTCATCACTACAAAAATCAGACCTAGATTGTGATAGACCAAGAAGGTGATTGGCACATTAGAAATACCACTTATTTGAATACTGTTAATTGAATACATTAACTGGCAAATTTTGAGTTTGTCAACCATCTAGTGTGTTTGTGTGGTATTCGGCAATCTCTATAGCGGATTGAAGAGTATTCATTGACTATATTGAACATATAATGACTATATTAATGGAATAATTTGAATATTTTTTCTAGTAAATAACAAACTCTGATAAATAGACAAGCTGACAGAAACAAATCAGAGAACCCACATTTTAAAAGCCTGGTTTAGTTCTGCACTGTAGAGTCTTACATTATCTGTTTCTAGTGGTGGCCACAATATGCCAAGTAAGATACAAATACAAAAAAGAATAACCCACTTTTTAAGTAAACTAACATTACAAAAAAACTTTTAGTATAATTATAGTCTATATAAAATTATTACTATTAATAAAAGAAGAGCTGATGATAAACAAGTGTAAATTTAAATACCAGAGGTAAAATTACCTCTAAACCATTCTATCTCAACACATTTCCATGGGACTATACCTTTCTATGAGAAAGAAGCAGAGAGAATTGTTTCAGTTGCTACAGTAGTGCAGTTTGGAAGAAAGTTTCCGATCCACAAATAAAATAGTTCGAAAATGGGTTTTGCACCCTAAGAGGTTCTCTCGTTTTCCTGGGATGTGAAAAATAGCCACATTGGTCAAGGGTATAAACATCTCTATAAATATAATCAAACTCCCACAGGGATAAAAGAGCCTGGGTAAATTTCCCAGAACAAAGTTCTTATAGTTCAAACCAGTGGCTCACCTGCCAGCTTTGATCTGATTCTCTCTCCTGTTGGGTCTGCGGCTGTCTCATAGGTTTCTCTCTGTCCCTTTCCTTTAAGAATGGGGAGCTACTGCAATGACACTTTTTTTTTTAGCCTTATGGAATTCAGCCTTTTTTCCTGTATGATGGAAGGTAAACCAAGAAAGAATTACTGTAAAAAATAAAGTGTGGTCAGTCATGTGAACATTATCCAAGGACATTCATGTTATAAAACGTGGTCAGATATTTCAAGTATGGGTGCCTAAAGTCAGACTGTTACATTCATATGTATATTTCTAAATAAAAGAGGCCTGGTCTTCAAGCAAGTGACTTAAAAATGGCAGCAGCTGGCACTCATCATCTCTGGTGGGGACGGCCAGGTGGGGAATAGGCCACTTTCAGTGCCTAAAAAGCTCTTGCAGAGCAGACCCTTTGGTTCTTCATATTGGCCCTTGTGTTTTCTCCCTCTGAATATTGCTCTGTGGTCTGAGGGTGCAGCCACCACACTCAGCTGGTCAACAGAGTTAAATTCGGCCATTCATGTTATGAGAGGCTACTTGAGTCAAGCACCAAATCTCCAGTTTGAATGTGCTAGCAGTGTTCATAGCTCTACCTACCAGACCTTCAACGAGATGCAAATACTGTAAGTCTTCCAGGAGAGCTGTGACAGCTTAAACCAACCCATTACATGTCTGGTTGACTGATATTCTATTCCCAGACTGTAAACAACACATTCCAATAACTCAAAATGTCTGTTCTTATTCAGGTCAGGAATCCCACTTCTGCAGACCAGGATGTGACACCACAGCTGATCTCTTAACACCCCTTTGCTACAGCAGCTCATATACTTCTGGACAAGTGTGCAATTGGCCTTTTACCATACACAGATGTTCAACACCACCAGGGAGCTGAAAATTATGTCTCTACAGAGTGGAAGAATTGGTGAAAGAGTCCAACACACATACAAATTCAAGAGTCTATCGCTGTACCTGCTTCCTTGTCCACTTGAGCATAGATCCTGGACCAGGCTCAACAGGCTACTCTGTCTTGTCCAGAATTGCTATAAGTATGCACCAGCTTGGCCTGATTTCCTCCCAGTGCTGTAACTATGACAGTATGGCAGACAATAACTCATGTGGTGGAACAGTGCTCAACCCGACTTCTGGAGGGTGGTTTACAATGCCTAGCTTGCATTGATACAACCTGTTCTCTGGTTACAGAACCTAGACATCTGCATACAAGAGACAGAGAGAAGTCAAAGAAGGAAGCACATAGCATCTCAGTTGTATGCTGAAGATCACATGACACACCCATTCTTTGCCATCAGCCCACTCCTGTTCACTTGCATGTAAGAAAGCAATTATGCAAGGGGTTTGAGATGTCTGTGTAGTGAGGAGAAATGTCAACTGCTTAGCCTTTCCTACACTCACACCATCTCTGATCACACTTGTGCAATAAGTCAACCATCTTGTGCTATCTGCTGTCAAATAAGGATCTGTCTGAAAGATATCTAAGTGCTCAAAACCATTGTTACATAGCAGAAGTAAAGTTATATTACGGGTTTAACAGCATACAAAAGTCTCTGCTTAGTTAACCCCAGGGGAGGGAGTGTGGATGGGGAATACATCAGGCAAGGACCCCCGCTCCCATTTGCAGTCTAAATTTAATCTCTGCTTTCAAGGAGGTAGAGTCATGAGTCCACATATGTGGAAGCCTGAAGCTGCTCCTTTGATACAAACCTGCAGGGTCACTGAAATGGCCAGTCTGATTACCAATAGACCAAACACAAAAAGACAGAACAAGCTGCTTCTGAAGGCTTCCTGCTGGGTCATAGGTCAGTCCCTGTGGAGGCAGGGATCCTACATGAGATCTATCATGTTTGTACTTTCTATTCTATAAAGCAGGAAAAAGCACAGGTCAGCAGTAATCAAACACTCATTGTTATCTGCTGGCTCTCTCATGGCATACATGATTTCAGTCTGGTTCCTAGTGGATGTGTGCCTAACAAAACACAATTAATCAGCACAATTGGCACTAATTAACAACCTTGTTGGGAGTCTCAAAAGAGAAGCCAAGCACTGAGCTATCTTCTTGCCCACAGAGGTGGTCTCGCCACATATAGGAAGCAACACTTCAAAAGCGATATGGGGGAAGCTTGCTCTGCTACTGCCTATGCTGTACATATTTTATTGTTTGAATAAATAGAGAGCTCTAGACACCAAGGCTGTCAATCTGTCACCATTCATGGAGTACTTAAAATTTAAAAATAAAATAAAATCAGAAAGCTATAGCTATTGACATTGCACCCATCAGCAAAGTTGGTAGGGAAAGAATCTATGAATATACCTTGGGGTTGTGCTTTTGGGTCCAACTTGGTGCAGTTGAAAAAGGAATATTTTGGTTGGTGAAATCTGACCTCTTTAGGCAGGTCAACACACTATTACAAAGCAGAGTAAACCATGAATGATACCTGACAGTGAAACTTGGTATTCTAATCTGCCTTTCTGTGGAGCACTGATATGTAGGCCTAGTGATGTTTGTGTTAGCGATTTATTAACACATGAACATAAGGTGTTTTTTTTTCAGTATCTCTCTTACCTCAGATATATAGCTGTGGAATTTGGGTGATACCATGCTGAAATTTGTTGTGGTCTGCAAATCCCTTAAAAAACAAACAAACAAACAAACAAACAAACAAACAAACAAACAAACAAAAAACCCACAATGAAAGAGTCAGTGAGCTGGATGTCACAAGAGTAGTTGGTGTTTGACATCCTCATGTTACCAATTGCAGAAAGGAGGAGTTTATTAAAGAAAGTCAAGATCAAATTTCTGCGATGGGCCCATGACAGATGCCTCTGCTTACACCAGGGCTGAATTTGGTCCTCAGAGTTTCTGACAAACCACATACATCACAGCCAAAATGCACCACAAGAGTGTCAAACTTCATCCAGTGAAAAGGGATGGATTAATGTTTAATTATGGTCAGTGGGCAAAGACATACGTTTCGCACTCCATACTACCCTCAAACCATAATGAGACTCTCACTGATGTCAAAGGGAGGTTTGCACAAAGATCAAGGGTAGCATCTGGCCTTTACTAGTAATAATCATATTGATTTAATTATAAATACAGAAAAAGTAGATGCATAATTACTAATTTGTCTTAGTGTAACAAAGCACATGCTCCTTCAAAATAATGAGTTATAATATTAAATTACACTTGCCAGGGCACTACTATTCATTGTTGCCTAAAGGAAAGATTCAGATCAAATGAACATGTCTACTAAGGACTGTTGTGCCAGTCAGAGTGACCACAGTTGATATAGTATTGCCAGGAAGTTCCTTCATTTAGCTCAATCTTGTAAATCCACAAACCCTAACTCTGCCTTTAATGGACATTTTGGTGACTTTTAATTGCAGATCTTTGGAACAACTGCCAGTCTGCTGTGCACATTTGGGTTAAATTAAGAGTAGCATAACTGCAAATATTCAGGAAATATTGTGTGCCCTTTTTATTGGTTACAAAATACCAGAGCAGGCTCAGAATAATAGTGTGAGAGGGAATAGGAAATGAAAAACCTTTGTTGCTATAGAAATGGCACTCAATTACTCTTACCTTCTTAAAAATGGCACATTAGCCCTTTATTTGCTTTGGCAAGAGAAAACAAACCTCTTTATTTCTGCATATAGCAGGAATTTATCCATGTATTGCCACTCACACTTATCTCTGCAGGAAAGCTCATGATATACAAATGGTGCAGGAAAGCCAAGTTAAACTTTTCAATCAATCATTTTTATTTATGCGATGCAGAAACATTTACTGTTGCTGTCAAGCAAGCAAAAACTTTAATAAGGTGAAAAAGCCATATTAATTGATAAATTACAGCATAAGCTATAAAATAGCCTACACTTTTTACAAACATATCTCCTTCCATTTTATGGCTCAGATGCTTAAATTGTTAAACACATTTAGAAAAAAAATATGAAAATACTTTCCAGAACTGACCGAAATAGAGTATTAGTGCCAATTTATACTCTACACCTTATGAAGGTGAAATATATAGTACATATACTGGAAAAAAAAAAGAAATCAGTGTCTATATTAGTTACTATATAGTGGTATCCAAGATACCACAGCTATTTCCTATTCTAAATCGAGGGCAGAGTATTTCAAATATAACACTGTGATATAACCGTGGACAAATGTTGATTTTTTAAATGGAATCCATTATGAGTGTATGTAGTCAAGATAAAAACTTGCATCAGACAGAGGATGCTGTGCAAGCACAGTGTTTTGCCTTTTGTTTGAGAGTGGTAGGAGAGAAGGTGGTACATAATTATATAATATTTTATTCTGAAACAAAATAGGCCTGACTACAATTAACCTACCCTGATACAAGTAACTCCACTGAAGTCAATTGAACTTTACAGGTGCACAACTGCCCTAGTGTGATATCATAATGAAGCCTAGGCTACCTTTTTGCTTAGTATGACCTCCTCTAGTTTATAGCTATTGCAAGAATATTTCTTCTTGATTCCAGAGGCTTACCTCACTGCAGGTCTTATTCTAATTGCTGAAAGGTGCAACTTAAATAACTATTACACATGAAGTTTTAATGCAACTGTTTGTCTTTGACTTTTGATATCAGTAATACCAAGGGATTGTAATAAATAGCCCTGGTCAGAAGTTGCCAGGTGAAATGATTTTCTATCTGAAAGTGCAGAGTAGTTTAAATTGAAGGGTTTCTATATAGTGTACTACATGGGAAGAGGATCCAGGGTGGGTTAAGGGTTGGGTCAAGGAGGATGTTGTTTGTCCCTCCAACAGTCTTGTAGAGCTTGAGTCTGTGTTACCCTTCCTGCAGGCCCCTGTGGTAAGGAACCTCCCCTTTAAGTGGGGTGACTTAGAGGGGCAAATATGGCTAGAAGTAACTATTAGCATGACTCCAACGGAGCAGTGATGTCAGGAAGAGGAAACAGCAAAACGGGCCACAGGCTGCAGGAGCACAGGACCTGGCTTCCCACTGATCCCCTGGGATTCTGGAAAAACCCAGATTCTCTGTGGAGTCTGGAGGCAGGTTACCACAGCTTTTTCTGTAGGGAACTAGCTCAATAGTAGGATCCAGAAGAACTCTTTATGGGGTAACTGGATGAAAATTGCTTCCCCCTAAGCTACCTCCCATGGGCCTTCCTGCAGCACGGGACTACCTTGTATGTAGTGTGCATCATCTGAAGTTTCCACTTCCCAAACTCCTGGTTTCCTTATCACTTTGATCTTTAAAGAGATTATTGCAGAAATACAGTAGTACCTTAAAGCTGAAGAAATATTACTTAACACATTGGGCAAAATTCCCATTGGCTTTAATGGAACCAAGATTTTATGTGATGTTCATGATACCTTAATACAGTATCTTGCCACTGCTTTTCTTTAAGAATTTATATTCTGGGGGGGGAGAGGGGGGGAATCTAATTTTCTTCTAAATGTCAAAGTCAGCTATTAAAATTCTGGCAAGTGTGATTCAATGCCAGATTTGATCAGATCTAAAATATCTGATAAGAATAGTATGATATTTATAGATAAGATGTTTTGATCTTTTGCATTTTAGGGGCTTTGAAACTATAAATCTTACCCTTATGTTTAATACTTTCAGGTCTGAGCAAGAGCATATGTTTTTGTAAAATATTACTATAGGTTTTTCTTCCCAGCTTATTGCATATTTGTATACTTTACACACCTCAATTTCATTCATAACAGTCCTACTTGAACTTTTATCAGTATTTCTTAAGACAGTTAGCTAACTAATGTTGGACCATACAAATTGGTTTGGCGCTTGTGTCCTGAACTACAGAGATCTACTGTATCCTACATTATTACATAGTGCATTTAACAAATTTTAACATATCAGATCTAGAAGCTGTATATATGATTAAAATCCAAACTATGTCTCTTAACCATGTGAATCCAAACATTGCAACATTTTAGGAAGATAATTTTTCACCATGCAAGCCTATCTTTAAACAAACAGATGAAATGGATGTTTCTAAAAGTAACAGAAAATAATGAATAACTTCCATAAGTCGGATCATTCAAAGTATATGGAATACACTTTTGTAGCTCAGGCACACAACCTTACGGGAACAGTGTAGATATTGGTATGAGAATGAAGTTTGGTAAGATTTCTCATGCATCGCTCCAGTGTATTGTCAGGGGAAAGAAGATGCAGAAATAAAGTAATGCCATAAAGCAAGAGGGAGGCGTTCTATGATAACATCATGACTCAGGTCTACAGTGAGGTGTCAAATTCCCTCAGAACCTGAGAAGTGCAGTTATAAGACATTGCCACACTGCAAAATGTTTTATTCTGTAAAGTATCTTCATGAAAAGACAACCAGTTTGTCATTGCAATAGTAGTGACGTTCTGTATTAAGCAAAAGATCACTTATTGCCAAGGCCCCTGGAAAATCTTAAATGATTTTCCACAATATCAGCACTTTTACCTATTTTCTGGGGGTGAAGGGGGAAATTCATATTTTCTGTTTTTTTTTTAAAAAGTCATTTAAAATCCTTTCTGTTACAAAGATAGTCTGATTGTGTAAACATTTTTTTTTAAAATAAAGTGTTAGAAATTATGACTGAAGAAGTGTGTCCCCCCCTTAAAAATGGCAGGTTGTGTGAAAGGCTGTATTAGTAGGAGGATTGCCAGCAGATCAAGGGAAGTGATTATTCCCCTCTATTCGGCACTGGCGAGGCCACATCTGGAGTATTGTGTCCAGTTTTGGTCCCCCCACTACAGAAGGGATGTGGACAAATTGGAGAGAGTCCAGCGGAGGGCAACAAAAATGATTAGGGGCCTGGGGCACATGACTTACGAGGGCTGAGGGAATTGGGGTTATTTAGTGTGCAGAAGAGAAGAGTGAGGGAGGATGTGATAGCAGCCCTCAACTACCTGAAGGGGGGTTACAAAGAGGATGGACCTAGGCTGTTCTTAGTGGTACCAGATGACAGAACAAGGAGCAATGGTCTCAAGTTGCAGTGGGGGAGGTCTAGGTTGGATATTAGGAAACACTTTCACGAGGAGGGTGGTGAAGTGCTGGAATGGGTTACCTAGGGAGGTGGTGGAATCTCCATCCTTAGAGGGTATAAGGCCTGGCTTGACAAAGCCCTGGGTGGGATGATTTAGTTGGCGTTGGTCTTGCTTTGAGCAGGGGATTGGACTAGATGATCTCCTGACGTCTCTTCCAACCCTAATATTCTATGATTCTAAGGGAAAGTTATATTCAGTTGGAGGGAAATTTACTGAAAATTCTATACAAAGTGAAGAAATTCATTTTGAAATTTATTAAAAAAAATCCTGACATTTTGAACTAAATTTAAAAAGGTTTTTCTAATTTTTTTGCACAAACAAGAATTCCAAGCAGCTCTGGTTGAGATAAGTTTGTTTTGGGAAGACAAACAGCAAACCGTCTCCTCATTCAATCATTTCAATGATATTGAAACTCTAAGGCTTAGCTGAGACCTTTCCAATTGCTAACATTATCAAATATGGGAAGATCGAAGAGGGTGGGTGGCGGGAGGGGGAAGGCTCAGCTAGCTGGAGTCACAGAACAGGAGCAGGTGCCTTTCCCACCTTGTTTTATTAGCAAGATCATACAGTGGACCTGATTCTGATCTCACACCATATTAACACTGAGTGCTGAATCAGGCCCAGCAATAAGAGCACAGTCTTGATTTGGCTTTCACAACCAGGATAAGAAAACTCCCAAATTGCTGAGGTTCTGCCTGATTGATGGTTTTGGGAGTACTCCCTGCTCAATCTGACCATGCCCAGAAAGGAACACTCATCTCATACGGTCAGACAGTTAGCAAAAGAACATGCAGCCTTAACATTAGCTCAAATTCAAAAAGATTCTGGCATACTGGCAAATTTTGTTTCCTACTTAGAAAGATGTTGCATCATACAACCCCTCTCCCAAGTAGCAGCTGCTTTGAGGAGCTGCAGTGAGTCAGTTTCCTGTTAGAAGAAAAACTGGTGACACAGACTCAAAGAATTTTCTGAGTCTATTTTCATCCACAAAATATACACAAGTCCTGTTTACCTTGAATAAAAACCAAGAACAGCAAAAACACACACAAATTCTTTTTGCAGAAACTCCAGCTAAAACACCACTGTGTCCAGACTTGCAGCCAAACAACAGCCACTCTGACCTTTGGTCCATGTCTCCTGCTTTTAGCCTGCTGCTTGTTTCTGCTCAAGATGCCACCTAAGCTCTCACTGGGAACGCACCACAGCTCAAAGTCATATGGCCCTGCTTGTCTGGCTGACTCAAAATTGATAAGAAATTATTTTTTCATACAATGCACAACTAACACATGGAACTCATTGTCACAAGAGAATATTGAGACCAAGCATTTAGTGGGGTTCAAGCTTATTTGTATAGCAAGAATATCCAGAGTTATAATAGTAAATATAAACCTTCAAGACGTAAATCAGCCCCCAATTATACAGCAATTCCTATGTTCCTAATATTGAGCATAGGCTAATTCGGCTGGGTTTTAAACTGCTAGGCAGCTTTCAGATTCTCCATCCAGACTAAAAGATCCAAGCACTTTGACTCTCTGGGTGAGAATTCTTTCCCCACACTTGTCAGTCTATGTTTACCACTTTCTGTAGAGAATTTCATATCATGTAGACAGATCAAAGTATTACTTTGATTACCAAAAATGATTTTTTTCAAAATGTATGTAAAATGGAGTTGCAAGTATGTCAGAGCTTACAGAGCCAAAGGTCTGAAATATTTCAATGCATCAATACATAAGCATTTAAGATAGTCCACTTTTTATGATACAGTTAACAGATCTATAGATTTAAAATGAAACTCTAATCGTAAGTTGCCAATATTTGCCATAGATTACTGTTTGTCTTGTAGCCATTCACGGTTACACTTCACAGCGTAAGAACAGAGAAATTAGATAAAGGCATACAATACTTTGCCGGGAAATTGCAACATAACACTACTTTATTTTTCAGAAGTCAGTGTACACAGGAACTGCAAAACAGAGAAACAAAACAGGCTGCTTCCTAAAACAGAGGGGCACAACTCACCCCACCTTCCTTTAAACAAACTGGCTCTTTTCAAACCATCTCACATGCATTGTTACAGAGCCCTCTAGCCTGCAAGCAGGACCTGGAAACCCTCTGCTATGTGCAAAAAGAACAGGAGTACTTGTGGCACCTTAGAGACTAACAAATTTATTTGAGCATAAGCTTTCGTGGGCAACAGCTCACTTCATCGGATGCACGTGCTGTAGCCCACGAAAGCTTATGCTCAAATAAATTTGTTAGTCTCTAAGGTGCCACAAGTACTCCTGTTCTTTTTGACGATACAGACTAAAATGGCTGCTACTCTGAAACCTCTGCTATGTGGTGAACTCACCACCAGGGAGCCCCCTCATGTCAGGTCAGTGTTGCAGGCAATCTTTCACTGCAGTGCCCTCTTATCAGTCCTGGTTCCACAACAACCTGCTGCTTCCATGGCTTAGCTCTCACACCAGATCACCTGTCAGACCCTTTCCAGGTATCACAGGAAAATCTAAAGACAGAATGCCCCAAAGCTTAGTGGTCTCTAAACCCAGCCCTCAGTCTCCATCTGAAACTTGTGGGATTTTGGCCTGGTTTACTTCTGATGCCTTTATTTCCACTCTT